ATCCTCGAAGGAGTCCGCGCCTTGTCCGTCGCGGTAGATGTGAGGTCCATGAGGGAAATGGTGGCGCCTTGGCTGTCATCATCCCACCGAGCCGGCTGGTGGTTTGTCACCGGCGCGTAGGAGGCGCAGCTGGCTATGTTCTCCTCCACGATCGCCTGCAGCTGCGCCTCCGCGGCTGCCGCTTCCTGCCGAGCGGCGGCTTGAGCGCAGACATCGTAGATGGGACGCTGATCCGCGACGAAATTTGGGTTTGCCGCCACCACGGCCTCCTCGCTCACGCGCTCGCTGTAGATCTGGCCCTCCGCCAGCCGGTGCTGCTCCAGGAGGAACATGTTGTACCGCGGTTCCTCCTGCGCCTGCTGAAACACCGACAAGACGTCGGCGCAGGCTACACCTCCACCATGGCAGCATTGAACCGTGCTTGCGTCTGCTCCATGGTGAAGTCGACCTGCATAGGAGGCGCGAGAGTCAGGGCGGAGTCATCAAAGCCCGTCTCCATCATGTTGTTGTCCTCGTCGTCGGAGACCTCGGGCGAGCTAGCTGGCAAGCCGGCCTCGGTCCGCCTAGCACGGTGGCTATGCCAGGCGGCGGCAAGGGCGACCACCGCGTGCTTCATCTAAGACGACAGACTGCCCTACAGTGCTTTCCCGCTGGCGGTCATGGCGTATGTAGTGCAAGGGAGGAGGATGTGGAGGGGCTGGTGTTGTGGTGAGTTAGGCGAGTGTGCCCGCCTTTATATAGTAGATTCCGGTGAGGCCAGGCGTCCGGGTGCGTCAATGTGCGGCGTCAGAGTGGGTTTCTTGGCCGGCGAGTTTGCTTAATGGCGGCAGACGAACAGAGAGCAACACCCTCGATCGATGCGCCGCTTCAACGGCAGGGACTGAGAGGTAGCGTCCGTCCTGAGCGGTCTTCAATGTTGAGCGACGCGCTCTACAATGGCATGAATGTGGGCAGCTGGCGCCGGGCGAGAGCACGAGCGGGAGAGGGAAGGGGTTTTTGATGGGCAAATGCTGTCAAAAAACAAGCTTGGGATCGGTCCGTACTCCCACAAACCTCCCCCACGTCTGTCTCCGATTTAGGGGAGAAATCACGTCTGGACTGATACATATTGGCGTTGGATGGCTTCCGCGGTCCGGATGGTTGCGAGAGGTTTATGGGTCTGCCTTTAAGATGCCTAACTAGCTATGTTACTTAAATCATCTCTCTCATCATTAAATCCGTACGTTTACTGCTGAAGTTACTCTCACAATGGGCAGTCATCCTGAGTTACTGCTGAAGTTACTCTCACAATGGGCAGTCATCCTGAAAAGATGAATGCCTGTCCCTGCTCCTGATAAGTATACTAGTAATAACTACGAATGATACATCATTCATGCAGAAATTGCTTTGTAAAAAAGAAGGGCATACTGCCATCGAGAGATATGGGCAAATTCTTGCGTATTATTTGACCAATTCGAGGAAAAAGAACAACCAAAGCGATTACAGAATCAAATGACCATGAGCACATGCTAGATCCAGCCCTGCTGTAAATACTAGCTGGGCACATGCCCTGGCAGCTGGAATTTTTCGCCCGGCACAGAACAATGCCTCCACACGATGATATTGCCAGAGGCAAGAGCACGGTAGATCCACAAACTTGTAATGAATGTGATGGTTTAGTCCACAAACTTGCAAAAGGTGATCACCTCATCCCTAAACTTGCAATGTATGTGAAGATTTAGTTCAAAGCCAATCACAAGTTGACAAATGGCGCCACGATGGCCGCGTCGTGGCACACCCACGGCCTGACATTTTTACAAAAACCCCTCCACCTTTATGGAAATCACATGGGCGGTATATTTTTGTCATGTCTATTTTTTTTAATCAAAGCTCCTGAATTTTTTCTCAAAATTCTAAATGCCTAAAAGATATGGGTGTCATGCACGTTCTGATATTCCGGTCACCTCCTCTTCTTAATGGAAGTAGGCTATGCCTCCACGCTGGTCAGAATAAGAAGAGGTCATTGGCCATGCATGCCGTATGTTGAGGAATGTGTCTGGAAGCATTGCTTGGACAGGGAGGGGGACCTTTTGGCCGCCCTGATTTCTAATAAAAGCTGGATCAAATTTCTGTGAACTATTTCCAGCGGATATGAGCATTATGTGGCTGGTAACAGTGAGTGATTTCTGGGCCTGAAGCTGTGTGATGTAGAGGTTGTCAGCCAAGCTCTTAACTTTGTGGTTTAACCCAAGTAAGTATGGGTGGTAAGGAGCACATAATGATCCAGGCAATTCGGCAATAGAAGTTTTGATGAGGTTCAAATACCGAAGGTGATTCAGTACACCTACTGACCTACAGATTCAGCTAACTTGATACTATTGTAAAAGTACAAATCGAGCACATGTAGCTTCTTCAAATATTGCAGAACCTGATGGAAAACATCACTTATAGCACCTGATGGAAAAACATCACTTATAGCATCTGTGAGTTTTTCAATGCAGATAACAGTGTGTACATTATGTGTAGCTTGCAGATTTTGTGCTTAGAGTAAACACAATCAAAGGAATTTTGATTGTGCTTGTTAAACATAAAGTATTTATATAGTGTAATTACCAAGAGCTCACTAAATATTAGTTATATAAATATTTTGTGTTTAACAAGCACAATCAAAATTCAAAACCAATTAGTTTTGTCAATAGGGGATACCTAAAATATTTGAGCTTATTTTGGCAGACGGCAACAAAATTTGCTTCAAAATTCAAAGTTCAATTTCAATTCTAAATTAATTTTCATTCTTTACATTTTTAGAACACTTTCATTCATTACTTGATCTTCTTATTCTATGCCATTTTGTGCTCAGTTGCGCTTGCGTCCTCGTATGGCCCGATTCAGTGCCGGCCACTGCCGCTCCCTGCTTGCTGTTTGCTGTTGCACACATTTGGCCATGCAGCCAAAGGATTTCCACTTTCCAGAATTTTGAAACCGGCGGACGTGTGTTGATTTGTGCGTGGAGTGTTAACTCGCAAGACCACTTGCCGATGCATCAGGACCATGCATCAGCAAGTCAGCAATCAACTCAGCTGGCTCAACACGTACAATACCTTATCAATTATAATCAATATGCACACATACTAGTACTCATATATATACCAGTATATTTATTGGTGGAATTTGAGGTATGGCAGCCGCCAATCCTAGCCAGATTGCTAGCACCGCCCTCGGCACGTAGGCGCAAGCACAACAACGTTCATGATTTCTATAAAGGTGGAGGTTTTTTTTTTGTAAAATGCTGCGCCGATTGGGTGTGCCACGACGCGGCCAGCATGGCGCCATTTGTCAACTTGTGATTGGCTTTGGACTAAATCTTCACATACATTGCAAGTTTAGGGATGAGGTGATCACCTTTTGCAAGTTTGTGGACTAAACCATCACATCCATTGCAAGTTTATGGGTTTGTAGTGATCTTGCCTCATATTGCCCTGATCTGGCACTCCTAGTGGGAACTATGAACCCAACAACTCGGAAGATCATCTAGCAAGGTTGTTACTAAAAAGTACAGTAACTTTATCGACATTGCAATTTTACTGTTATTTTTTTGGAACTTTGCTAAGATGCCAATTTGTCATCCATCAAGGCAACCAAGACAGTTTTCTTCATAATGCAGAAGGGTCAGTAAAGGTTCAGCATTAGAACTGCCAGAACCCCCACAGCGGCGCCTTCGATCATTCCATTACTTTAGGCGTCCTCGCATTGGAGGCGGTTTGTCTATGTAAACCGCTTGCCGGTGGGGCATGTGATTCTGCAAACCGCTTTCATTACGCTGAGTAATCGCGACAGGCTTTGAAATGGAAAGGGGAACCACCGCCGGCCCATGAACGAAAACCACCTCAAAAGCCCATTCTGTACTAGTGTTCCTCTCTAGTTTAATTTAATTAAACTGGACCCTCTAGTTAAATCTATGAACAAAGCTTTCCCCATTCTAGAAGGATTTTTTTGCGGGGGCCATTCTAGATTGGGGAATTTTGATGAAGTTTCGG